AAGGCCAGGTTGGATGAGGCTTTGGGCAACCTGGTGTAGTGGAGGGTGTCCCTGCCCATGGCAGGGGGGGTGGAACTAGATGATCTTCGGGGTCCCTTCCAATCCAAACCGTCCAATGATTCTGTGATTCTGCAGGGCACGAATCACCTCTGATCCCCTATTTGTACAGCTCTGACTGCTGTCGAGCCATCACACTGGCAGAGGCTGCTCATGCCATGAAGAAAGGCGAATACCATAGCTGAGCGGCTGCTGGGGCACTCCTGGGAAAGCACAAAGTGCTCTTCCTCAGATTAAGATGGAAGGGAAAAACCTGCAAGTAGGGATGCAGAAAGCACTGGGTGCATGCTCCCACCCTTCTTTGAGGTGTAAATAGGCTGTTCAAGGGTGCTCACAGCATCAGCGAATGTATCTGTGGGACCGGCCAGATCTAAAAGCAGCGATTCCCTCTGCACGCAGGAGCTGTGTCTCTCATCTCCCTGATGGTCCTCTCCTGTTTGGGAGACAACAAATGCACCCGCAGGCTGGTGGGCTCATCTAAGGAGAGGCAAGCTGCGGTTCAAAGTGGTGGCCCCACTCGGTGTCAGGAATCTCACTTCCCCACGGCTGCCAAACCGATCTTGGGTCACTCTTCTCACCATTAGCACGTTGGTGGCTGCTTCTGCTGCTCTGCCAGCATTGGGGTCTGGTGGGGACGTGAGGTTGGGCCTCACCACATCAGCTGGAGGAATGCAGATTGCAAAGCGCCGAGAGAGCCGTCTCCATCCCGCTGGTCGGACGTGTCCGGAGGATTTTGCTCTCCCCTTTGCTTTCACGTTGTGAGTTCGCTGAGGATTGTTCCCGATAAATAATCCGGAACTGCACTGTAATTTTCTGGGCTGAAATTTGATAATGAAGCAAATACAGCATGTCTTTGTCTTGGGCCAGCACCATAAGGTAAACAGGAAGGAATGAGGGATTAAGACATCTCTGCTCTAAAGGAAGGTGACAAGCCCAGAGCCGTGACACCTTCGTGCCGAGGCGAGAGGCCCAGCTGCGGGCTGGCGTTGCACGGATGCATTGTTCGGGGCCGAAGAGCAAATAAAAGCAAAGGGAAAAGAAAACAAGCTATAAAATTCTTGCCCCAGCAACTGCCTCTTGATGTTCCCATGACAGCTCTGGGGACGGGCGGGCGAGGGGTCGAGCTTTTGAAGTCCTTCAGTTGTCCTTAGCGAAGGCCCCCTGTTAAAATAGTCCCTGTGTTGACATTAGGCTGCATATGGTGGAGAAATTGGACATCTCCCGGCAGGTTCGGTCACAGCGCGTGCAATTAAAGCAGAGGGGGATTTTTTGGCGTTTTGGTATTTATCCAGGCGTCAGGCCGGCCCCGTTGCAGAGGCAGAGGTTTATCAGCATGTTCAGGGTGGCAGACATGCGGCTGCCAGGAGCAGGACGGAAAACCGGGAAAGAAACTTGCTTGGAAGGTCTTGAAATGATATGCAGAGCTCAAACACTCATGTGTGCTGGGACTAGTGAAAGTGGGAATACTGGGAATGTCAGGCAGGCGATGTTGGAAACCCCTTTCCCCCAGGGGCGGATGGAGGGGGCTCATGGGGTGCGGAGAAGTGAGGTGTTTTGCAGCGGTTTTGGGGGGGCTTTGCACTGGACATGGTAGGAAGCACCATGGTGCGAGAGCAGATGAGGAGGAGGATGAGGAGCAGCCGGGGGGTTGTGTGTTGCCGTTTCCTAACCATGGACTGGCTCCCTACCCTCGCAGCCTTGCCTGCACCCAGCTTTTCATTCACATTAAGAGCAGGGAGAGGCAAAGGGTGTGTTTGTTGCAAATCACGATGGTAAAATGGGGTCTCAGCAACCTCAGCATCCCCTTTGAAAAGCCAGACTCGCCACCTAGCACTGGTCAAGGAAGGATGTGGGTCAGCAACTGGCTTCCCATAGCCAGCGATGCCACCGGAGCATCCCCTCCTGTGCCACCCCCACTGCGACGAGTCTCCCCGGGCAGGACCTGGAGGGTGCCCAGCCCCGCGCACACAGATCCCCCCAGGGTTGGCACCTCGGTGGCCGGGCACAGATGCTGACAGTCTCTGCTCTTCGCCTCTCGCAGCCTGCAACTGCAACCTCCACGCCCGGCGATGCCGCTTCAACATGGAGCTCTACAAGCTGTCGGGGCGCAAGAGCGGCGGCGTCTGCCTGAACTGCCGGCACAACACTGCGGGGCGACACTGCCACTACTGCAAGGAGGGCTTCTACCGGGACCTCAGCAAGCCCATCTCCCACCGCAAGGCCTGCAAAGGTACCCGCTCGGGGGGGGTGGGATGGCTGAGATCTCCTCCAATCCCTTCCTGCCACTCTGCTTCCACAGCTCTTGCTCTTGCCAAACTCCTCCTGCTTCTCCCTTTCCCAAACCAAGCCCTTGAAATTACTTTTCTTCCCCCTACGTTCCCTGCCATCACCTCCCCCGGGTATCCCCAGCCTCCCAGTGACGATGAGGCCACTGACATACAAAAAAACCCTCACTGCTGAGGATGACTTTAAATTATTTCAGGTTGAAAGAGCTATTTTATCCCTTATCCCCATCCCTGGAAGTGTTCAGGGCCAGGTTGGATGAGGCTTTGAGCAACCTGGTGTAGTGGAAGGTGTCCCTGCTCATGGCAGAGGGGTTGGAACTAGATGGTCTTGAAGGTCCCTTCCAACCCAAACCATTCTGTGATTCTGTGATTATAAACCATGTTTCATCTGCTCTAATTGCCACAGCAAACTTAGTCACCACATATGTAAGGACAGAGTTGCACCAAGTCCCAGGTACGGGGTTAGATGCAGCATCTGCACATCAGCCTCCTCCAAGCACCCAGCCCCCCCTGCTCCCATCCTCCACCCTCGCCCCCAGCACTGCCAGGGTCGGGGGGGGGGGATCACTCACAAAACATTTCACCCCTCAAGACGAGGCGAGAACAGTGAAACAGGGAAACAATTTTATTTTGAGCTCAGCAAATGGAGATTTTTGAGGTTGTCTCTTCTCCTGCGGTGGGCATGAAGGGCCACAGGCGAGCGGGGCTTCAGCTGGGGTGGGAGCTGCAATAAAAGCAAATCCTGCAAATGAAGATTTTTAACTCTCGGCTGCCTGCTGGAAGAGATACAAATCCTGAGCCCGAGACGCAGCGAAAGGAATCAAGCGAACATTCAAAAGCCATCTTAGAAGATGCCGGGGTTTCCCGCAGAAACCTTCAGCTCTTTTCTCTCTAAAGAGTCATTTCAAGAAGAAAGGGAAAGGTTTTTTGGCCCAAGCTGGGTATTTTTGGCTGGAAAGCTTTGGGTCTTCAGCGTTTTCTTTTTTTTTGTTTTCACTGAAAACAGAC